TCCTCTACCCAGACCTGCTGGGCACAGGGGTGTCAGAGGAACCCATCAGGCCCGGGCCCTGTACTCAGGGGACCACAGTCCGGCTGCTGAGGGCTCCCAGGACAGAGGGCTTGTTGAGGCTCTCAAAAAACCCACTTGAAGCCCCCATCACGCCCACCCGAGGGATCTGTTGTCCCTCACAGGTGGCCTGCATTTCACCCCGTGCTAGGAATTCCCACCTTCATTTTCTTCTTTGACAACTTCCTGCCACCCCCCCCCAACTCCCCACCCCAGGGAAGTTGGGAAAGAGGGGGCTCACTGTTGTGGAATTGAGGCTCAGAGAGGTGCAGTGACCCGCCCCCGGGGTCGCACAGCGAGCGAGGGGGCCGGGGCCCGGACTGGAACGTGGTTCTCCCTGCTCTAGCCAGGGCCCTCCGGATCCCAGAGCCAAGTGGGAAGGGCTCAGGCGGGCACTTTCTTCTCTCTGTGGATGGAGGGCGCGGGAGGTGGCGGCTCCACGGCGCTGGGAGGGAGAGGAGAATTGCGGGGCCATCAGGTCCCCGCCAGAGAGTTTTCTTTTTCCACGGCGCCCGGGGCCACTGGCTGTGTGATCGGCCCCGGGGCACGTCCCCTCTGCGTACATCTGTGAAGTGAATGAGATGTGCTCCAGGGCCCTTTCCGCTTCCAACACGGGTTGGTTGATTCTCACACCGGTGCCAGCCCCCACCAGACACACAGAGGATTTTACCCTGTGCCCGGTGCCTAGAGCAGCGCCAGGCTTCACAGCAGGTGCCCCAGAGACAGTCGCGCGCGGAGACAATGCATCCCCCGGGCGCCTACAGCAAGCGCACTCCCTGGGCTGACCCAGAGCGTTCCCCAAGCCAGTTGGCGGGCGGGCGGGCAGTCAGGGAGGCCTTCCTGGAGGTGGCCGCCCTGCGTAGCCGGTAGTTAGAGGAGTTGTGGCTGAGAGTCTGGAGGAGGCGTCCCACTCACCTCCCCGCTGCTCTTTCTCCTGCAGAAGTGGCTCGCCTCTCCCTTCCCCTCGTCGTCCTTCAGCCCCGACACGCCGGCACCCGAGATCTCCCCGCTGGAGGTGCTGGACGGGGACGCTAAGGCCACACAGTTGCTCCTGCTACAGCAGGAGAAGGTGCCCTCCTCGTCCTCAGCCGAGACCAGCGGCCACTCGCTGACCAGCTGCTTCACCAATCAGGGCTATTTCTTCTTCCACCTCCCGGACGCTCTGGAGATCGAGGCCTGCCAGGTGTACTTCACCTATGACCCCTGCACGGAAGAGCCCGATGAGGCCGGGCCCGGGGTGCCTGCGGGGTCTCTCCTGCCACCCCTGCTGCCTCCGCCCGGGGAGGAAGACGCCTACTGCACCTTCCTCCTCGGCGGCCCGGGCCCCCCAAACACGGCCCCGGGGGGCACTGGAGCTCATGACAAGAAGCTGGCCCCCTCCCTGCAGGAGGGAGCTCCCAGAGACTGGGCCCCCCGGCCCCCGATGTCTCCCCCGCCAGGGGCACCTGAGCCGGTGGACATCCAGCCACCCCTGGAGGGCTCCGTGGAAGGGGCAAGAGAGGAGGGCCCGGGCCCTGGCCCTGGCCCTGGCCCTGGCCCTGGGGAGGGGGTCAGGGTCAGCTTCCCCTGGGCCAGCCCTCCTGGGCAAGGCCAGCTCAGAGCCCCTGCCTCCTGCCTGACCCTGAACACCGATGCCTACCTGTCCCTCCAGGAGCTGCAGGATCAGGACCCAGCTCGCTCGGGGTAGACGCAACGACCCGGTGGGTCACTGCCCACTGTGGTGCCAGGCCCAGTTGAGGGCTCGCTGTCCTCAAGGTTTGTCCACTGCTGAGTCACCCGGTTTCTAGCCGTGCCCCGGACATCTCTGCCCAGAGGGCCCCCACCCAACCTAGCACACTTGGCCGTTCACTTCCAAAGACCTCAGTTGCTGCTTCCTGGTCCTATGACCCAAGTGCAGAGTGGGGGGGTGGGGGCACCGTGACTCCCCCACTCCCTCATCAGTCACGGAGCCCCATGGCTTTTGTCCCTGAAGCATCCCTCCTCTTCAGCCCTGCAAGCACTCTTGGGGGAGCGTTCTCGGGGCTCTCCAGGGGTCTTCTCCGCAGGCTTCCTGCCCCATCTCCCCCCCTCCCCACCCTCGCCCGCAGGACAATGAGAACAATGAGAACGCTCTTTCCAGAACGTAAATATGGTTAAGCTGCCTCCCCCGGTTAAATCCCTGCCATGCCTCCTCACTGCCCTCCGCTTCACTTCTTGGCCCGGCCCCTGCTCCTCCAGCATCGTGTTGGGACATTCCCTTCTGGAACCTTCCTACTGAGCCACCAGAAGCTCCCTCCTGCCCCCACACCTTGGCACATGCTTGGCACCCGGTGCCTTCAGTGCCTCCTTCATCTAGGGGACAAACCCCCCTTATCCCTCAAGTGTCAGGTCCGCTTCCCTTGGAAGGAAACACTGCTTCCATTCATGTGCCCAGGCTTCACGATTCAGTGCTGGAGGGACAGTTCTCGGGGTCACGGGATGGCTAGACCCAGCGGCTCTGTCACTCCGCCCTTGGGATCTCTCCTGACCTCAGCATGCTTCGCTGCTGTGTCCTTACCACAGTATGGACACAAATACCCCGGGGGGGGTGGGGAGAGGAGGGGACACTGGCTGGATGTTTCCATGGAGGTTTCACAGACTCCTAAGGCATGCTGCTGGAAAGTGAACCTCCTGTCAGTGGCAGGTTCCGATGCTGTCCCAGGGAGCCCAGATCTGGGCCCCTGCCACTCCACCCTCTACTGGAGGGACCTCTTGCGTGGCTCCGGGGCTGGCACACCGCCTCCGGAAGCGCAACTCCGTTCACCGCACTTGACACGGGGTACCTGGCACCCCACCGTATCCCCCGGATGAGATAATGAACCGTCTGGAACCGTCTTGCTCGGACTCCCAGTGCCCGGCTGCCTTCACATAGGGGGCGTCATCCACCGCACAGAGCACCCCCGGCGCCTTGACCCGTGTGAGGTCAAGACTCAGAGAGGCAAAGCCCCATGCCCGCTAGGCTCCAGCACGCCCATTCCAGCAAGAGGCTCATCCCCTTCACAATGGCAATTCTCCCCTCCAACGCAAACACACAGACACACACAGAGCCGGCCCCTTCCTTCTTGGTGCTCCCCACCACCTCTCCATCTCTCCTCCCTTTTGTCTATTGCACTGGTCACACCTGCGACGTCTGTCACAATCTTGCCCCCATACTACCACCCTCAGCCAAGAAAGGACTTCGTCCAAGCTCAGCGGGGGACCAGACAGGTCCTCTATTTATAGGCCCTGCTCCTCCCTGATTGGGCACTTGACACAAGCCCACCCATAGGCTGACAAGCAGCCTATGAGCTGGCTCAGAAAATAAGCTCTGCCCAATCAGAGAGGCGGGGCCCGCACCGGCCAATCAGGTTACTCTCCGTCTCGAGAGGGTGCACTCAGGGAGGCAGGCACCTGGGAGCGCGTCCTTCCGGAAAAGGCGCCCTCGGAGAAGGCTGCGGAGGACTTTCGTCCTGTATAGAGGACAGCGCCGGGCTCTGTTTACAGAGACTCTTGCTGCCAAGGAGGCTGCTGCCTGTTCACTCAAGATTCTTGTTTTCCTTAGAAAACAAGAATAAACTCCCCTTTCCTGAGGTTGTCTGAGTCTTGGATCCTTCCCACGGAAGAGCTTCATTACCTGGCCAGCTCACGTCCCACCTCCTACCATGTGATGCCATGTGTTCTGGGCCACAGAGCTCCTCGGTCCTGATCTGAGCCTCAGACCCGAGCTCGTGCCCAGACCCTTGCGCTGTGTCCCGGGACCAACCGAGAGGCCGCTCTGCAAGCCAGGTTCCACTTTGAAGCGTTCTTGGGATGGTTACATTTCTCATTTGTAGTGTATGTATCAGTGACCTGCGTGTGCCATCTCTGTTACTGTGTACTTAATATTTTCCTGTAACTCCATTCACTATTTTGTTTACTTGTATTTAAAGAAAAGTCGTCCTGTTGCTTCCGTGAATGGAGACACCGTTATTCTCTGTAAATAAAAGGGAACTCTAAAAAGTAAATACAATAAAATGTCTCCATCTGTTGCCAGCTGGAAATCCGCTTTCTTAGTTTAAAGAGGAGATTAGCGGGCCGCCTGGGTGGCTCAGTCAGTTGAGCGACGGACTTCACCTCAGGTCATGATCTCGCGGTTCACGAGTTCGAGCCCCCGAGTCCCGCATGGGGCTCTGTGCTGACAGCTCGGAGCCTGGACCCTGCTTCGGGCTCTGTGTTTCCGTCTCTCTCTCTCTCTCTCTCTCTCTCTCTCTCTCTGCCTCTCCCCCACTCACGCTCTATCAAAAATAAATTAAAAAAACAAAAACACTAAAAAACTTTTTTAAAGAGGAGATTGGCAAGTGTTGGGAGGCTGTTGAAGACATGCCAGCACCAAACAGTGAGAAAGCAAAAAGATTATAAAAGGAATATCATTTTCACTAATAGGAGTCAGGTTTCTCTTATTCTGTGCCTAGGCACCTTCTGACATGGTCTCATGGGAAAATAAAAATAAAATATCATAAAAATAGGACTAATATGTACATTTAATGTAATATAAAGTAATATAATATAAACTGAATATAATAAATGTAAATAAAGGTATATATATATATATATATATAATTTTTTTCCCCTTTCAGTGCCTTTGACTCTGAACAGTTGGACCAGATCACAGATGGCGATATCTGACGTTCACAAAGCTGCACCCGTGGCAGACATTGCTAATCAATTGCACCCTCTCATACCAGACATTGCTAACCGATCACAGCTCTCCTTCCCACGAAGTTTGGGTAGGGCTTTAGACTCCGCAGGCAGGTCCCAAATGATCATAGCTGGCACCTGGTGACCTATCTGGACCAGATAATCCCCCTGAGATTCCTTCCACAGTGGAAGGTCTTATCTTCCCGGGCCAGATTTTCCAGGCAGGGATGGGGGCTGGAAAGCGGAGAGGGGCCAGTTAGCAGACATGCCCAGGGAACATGCCCAGGGTCCCCACCGTGGTCTGATGAGAGGCTTGAGCTGGCGGTGAGCAGAAATGAGGGGCCACCTTACACCAGGTGGACTGATGGGGCCGAAGCCACCATGTGACATGCCCTGGGTGGGTCAGAGTCTGTGCCTCCGGGGACGGGGCAAGGAGGAAGCAGCTGGTAGGGGCAGGAAGGGCGAGGCAGAGACAGGCCTGCCTGGGTCAGATCGCAGGGAGAGGAGCGGCACCAGCTGGGAAGCAGGCGGCCGGGAGCCCCGGGAGACCTGTCAGGTGCGGAGTGGGAAGCAGGAGGCAGCCGGGCAGACTGGGGGATCAGAGAAAAGGAGGGAGAGGTGGGCAGGCCTTCCAGCCTCTCAGACCTCCAATTTCTCAAACTATATTTGTTCCTCACCTCCCCAGTCCATGGTATCCCTGCTCTCTCCCCGCTCCCCAGATCCCACCCCAAGCAACTTCCAGCGTCCACGGTCACCGAGCAAATTACGGAGGAAACAGTCCATCCTGGGGTGAATACCTACCCCTGCCCTCTCAATTATTGGCATCCTGGATGAGTTCAGAAAAGATTAAGAGGCACATTTATTTAGCCACTGCTTACCCTCGTCGCCTGAAAAGACCCAGCAAAGCAGGTGTTTTGTCCCCCATTTTGCAGATTAGGAAACTGAGGCTCAGGGAAGTTTAAAAGTTTAAAAGTTCCCGGCAACGGATTAAAAAGTGACAACAGCAGCCCCCTTTGCACGATTGTAATCGTAGTTGAGACCGTCCCCACCCTTGTGAGGCGGCAGCATCGCCTTGAGCTCGGGTCCCTGCTCAGCCTCCTCCTTGGTCCGCCTGTCCCCTGCCACCTGCTTCTCTTAATTCTTCCACGTCCTCGGCCAACTGTATCCCAAAGTAGCTGAAGGGTGGCTGAGCTTCTCTGGCTACAGCCCCGTGCAACAGGTCCCTCTCCCTCCCCAATTCAGGAGACTCGTCCAGAAGCTTCCCATGCAGCCCATTTCCAATAAAGGCTCAGGTTCCACAGAGGAGGGTGTGGCTGTCCCTCTACTCCTCTCTGCGTTCTCCACGGTCGC